TGTTTTGTATAGTATGTTATGCCAATTGAGCTTGATGTCCCCTGCGACTATGGTCCCAAGCCCGCAGGTTCAACTACTCGGTCCCTCTGGGTAGCTTGCTATGACCAAGCAGTGACCACAAGCTTGCCCTTTCTCAGCTCTACTATACACCTGGGAATTCTGATCATTCACATAAACTTATAGGACCATTGTCTGCCAACACTATATATGTTCTTGGATGCACTCCCCACTTCATAGACATACCTAATCATTCAGCCTGTCCACCCATCTATCCACCCATATACCCATACTTGCCATTACTGACAACGCAGTACTGTATGTGCAAAAAAGTTCATATTTGTTGTCTATACCTCCTCTGTACCTCTCTATGTCTTTCTCATCCTCAGTGGTACCATATTGGTCACTCACATTTGGTACGTTGCCCTTCTCTTTACCGAAATCAATACTTATCTCTATCTATCTAACAGTGTTCCCCCCCACTCCCCTCCCACCCCTGGTAACCAACAAAGAAAATTTGCTTCTATTGATAAACCTTTCCTTAACTTTTACAATAATGGACTAATACAATATTTGTCCTTTTCTGATTGACTTATTTCACTCAGCATAATGTCCTCCAAGTTTATCCACATTACGTGCTGTTTTGCAGATCCTACATTATTCTTTAGCATTGCATAGTATTCCATTGTGTGTATGTACCATAGTTTGTTTATCTGTTCCTCAGGTGATGGACATCTAGGTTGATTCCATCTTTTTGCTACTGTAAATAGTGCTGCGATGAACATGGGTGTGCACATATCTGTTCTTGTCATGTCTCTCACTTCTTTAGGGTATATACCTAGTAAAGGAATGGCTGGGTCAAATGGTATTTCTAATTCCAACTTTTGAAGGAATAGCCATACTGCTTTCCACAATGGTTGTACCATTTGACAGTCCCACCAGCAGTGCATGAGAATCCCAATCTCTCCACAACCTCGCCAGCATTTGTTATATTCTGTCTTGTTGAACTTTGCTGCTAGTGCTGGAGCAAGATGGTACCTCATGGTTGTTTTAATTTACATCTCTCTAATAGCTAATGATCGTGAGCATTTCTTCATA